TCTAGCATCGAGGTTCGAAGTTTCGAAGATCTGGGATCGAGGGATCGAGGGATCAAGAATCGAGGTTGCTGGATACGTCTGGCCCGTTCTGGGCCCTGGAGGCTTCCAGGGACCCGGAAGAGCCTCCGGCGACCCCTCGAGGATCGAGAACATGGTGCAGCACCCACTTCCTGGCAGGAGGATGATGGGGAAGGATCGAGGGGGACTGGCCCAGGGGGAGGGGAACATTGAGCTGGAATCGGCAGGCGAAACGGGCTGGACCACTTCAGGCCAAAGTATCTCTGACCCCGTGCGCGACATCTTGGAGCCCAAAATGGCGATAATGCTTCGGGCGAAATTATCCGGACCACTTCGCACGCGGCATCTCGGAACCCAGAGTTTGGAGGAGGTCACTGGCGAGTTTGGCTGGACCACCTCGCGCCTGGCATCTCGGATCTTAGAGTTGCGAGAGTACCCCAGGCGAGTTGGACTGGACCGCCGCGAGGATGTTCCAGGCGAATCGGGCTGGACCAAGTCTGGTCAGATCATGTCCGATCCGAGAGCTGCGACGATGCTTTCGGTGAAAATGGGCCACACCACCTCGCGAAAGGTAGATGTGAGCCGAGAGTTGCGAGGATGTCTCGGGCGAACTGGGCTGGACTACATCGAGCCAGGACATATCTGAGCCCGGAATGTCAAGGATCCTCAGGCTAGCGGGGCCGCACCTCTTTGCGCGTGGCATCTCTAATACAGGAGTTGCGAGGATGTCTCAGGCGAAATGGGCCAGACCACCTTGCGCGCGGCATCTCGCAGAGTTGGGGGGATGTCCCAGGCGAGAATGTCTGAAATCCGCCGGCCCCCTTGTGGGGCCACCAGGCTGTAGGCCGAAGGTTCGCAGTTTCCTGTGCAAGTTGCAGCTTCCAGTTTCCACTGTTCCAGTTCTGCTTCTTGCTGCTTACTGTTCCTTGTTGATGGACCGCGCGAAGGGGAAAGGCCCAAACGGGCAGGTTTAGCACGCCCTGAGCGTGTCCTCTGAATTGCTGGGGTGGGTACAAGTTGATACCCCTCACGCAGATCGGCGGGGTCAGGTGCTAAAAACACATGGGATTTGCCACATTTCTAAAATTTGCTGGCACCCCTCACGCAGATCGGCGAGGTCAGGGTCCAAAAACAAACGGAATGTGCCACATTTCTAAAATTCGGCGACACCCCTCACACAGATCGGCGGGGTCAGGGTCCGAAAACCAAAAGGGTTCTGAACATTTATGAAATTCGGTGGCCCCCCTCACGCAGATCGGCGAGGTCAGGGTCCAAAAACACATGGGATCTGCCACATTTCTGAAATTCGATGGCACCCCTCATGCAGATCGGCGGGAGCAGGGTCCGAAAACCCAAGGGTTTCTCAACATTTGTGAAATCCGGTGGCACCCCTCACGCGGATCGACAGGGTCAGGGTCAAAAAACACACGGGATTTGCCACATGTCTGCAATTTTCTGGCACCCCTCACATAGATCGGCGGGGTCAGGGTCCAAAAACACATGGGATTTGCCACATTTCTAAAATTCAGTGGCACCCCTCACGCAGAGTCGTAGGGTCAAGGCCGAAAAACAAACAGGTCCCGACACTGCTTCACGGCGGCACCCAAACCTCATGATTTAGCTGTTGCATCTCCCATTATCCGAGACAGGGGGCCGAAGGCATGGGGCGAAGCCCTCACGGATAAGATTGGCCAGATCACCTCGCGCGTGGCATGTTTGAGCCTAGAGTTGCGAAGATGTCTTAGGCGAAACGGGCTGGACCTCCTCAGGTAAGGGGCAAATCTAAACCCAGAGTTGCGACGATGTCTCAGGCATCACGGACTGGACCACCTCGCGCACGACATCTCCAATCCCAGAGTTGCGAAGCGAAATGGCCCTGGCATCTCGGAGCCCAGATTTGCGAGGATATCTCAACGCAGCGCTAACGCAGCGCATTGGCAAGTAATGCGACATCAATGCAGTCTCATGCATTGTAAAGCACTGCAGTGCAATGCAATGCAGTGGCACTCCCTGCATGCGCAATGCATATGCAAGATGCAAGTGCTGATGGGCATGGGACAAAAGTTTTCACTGCGGGGGACGCGGGATAAAGGCAGGGAAGAAAGGAGCACGATGACGAGGAGCGGGGGGGGAAGAGGAGGAGGTGGACTTGTTTTCCAGACCTCACCATGCAACTTGGCATGAACTACAGTGCAACACCAGTAGCAGGAGGCGGAGCTGGCAACAGGATCAGGCACATCTGAGGCGCACTTAAAAGAACAAAAGCTCACTTAGCAGGAACACGACTTGCCTCCTCCTCCTCCTCCCGCCTCCTCCCCCTTCCTCCTCCTTCTCCTCCTCCTCCTCCTCATCATCATCATCATCATCAGCAGCAGCATGAGCAGCATCATCATCATCATCATCATCATCATCATCATCATCATCATCATCATCAGCAGCATGATTATCATCATCATACTCCTCATCACAATCATCATCATCGTCACCAGTATCACCATCATCAGCATCATCATCCTCAGCATCAGCATAACCATCATCATCAGCAGCAGCATTATCATCATCGACAACGTCATCATGGCCATCATCATCAGCAGCATCATCAGCATCAGCAGCATCATCATCAGCAACATCGGCATCAGCATCAGCATCATCATAATACTATTCATCATCATCATAACCCTCGTCAGCATCTTCATCGTCGTCGACATCAGCATCAGCATCAGCATCAGCATCAGCATCATCATCAGCATCAGCAGCATCATCATCAGCATCAGCATCAGCATCAGCATCAGCATCGTCATCACCATCATCAGCATCGTCGTCATCATCAGCATCAGCATCATCGTCATCAGCATCATCATCATCGTCATCAACAACATCATCAGCATCAACATCATTATCATCATCAGCAACATCATCACCATCATCATCATCATCAGCAGCATCATCCGCATCATCCGCATCCACATCCGCCGCTTTCATCCGCCTCCTCATCCTCGTCCCCTTCCTCCACCGCCTCCCCTGGAGAATGAATCCCAAGAACCATCCTCGAGTGAGTTTTGACCAGGAATTCGAGGGGAACCCAGCCGTGGCGACTAGAAAGTTCCCAGAGGCCCAAAGAAGGAGGCGAAACGTCCAAAGCTTACAATCCTCGAACCTCCCCGTCAGCGGCCCCAAGGGCCCCCCGCATCGTCCTCCTCACCACCAACCCAACCCACCCACCCACAAGCAGCATCGTTCGCCTCGTCATCCGATTCGCCACCGTCACCGTCACCGTATTATCGCCATCACCAGCATCAGCATCAGCATCATCAGCATCATCAGCATCATCAGCATCATCAGCATCATCAGCATCAGCATCAGCATCAGCATCATCATCATCATCATCATCATCATCATCATCATCATCATCATCATCATCATTATCATCACCATCAACGTCATCATCATCAGTTCCATCATCAACAGCACCATCATCATCACCACCATCTCCACCATCACAACCATCACCATATCCTTCCGCCCCTCCTCCTCCTCCTCCTCCTCCCCCTCCTCATCATCATCATCATCGTGCGCGTCGCTATCATCAGCATCATCATCAGCAACAGCAGCATCCCCATCCTCATCGTCGTCGTGGGTGTCATCATCACCAGCCTCATCATAAAAACCAGCTTCCTCAGCATCACCATCATCATCATCATCATCAGCAGCAGCATCATCATCATCAGTAGCATCCTCATCATCAGCAGCAGCATCCGCATCAGCATCATCGTTTTCATCACCATCCTCATCACGATCACCCAATTCATCACCCAATGCATCTTCATTAGCGACACCATCATCACAATCAGCATCATCATCATCATCATCATCATCATCATCATCGTCATCATTATCATCATTATCATCATACTAATTAGCGTCATCATCAGCATCGTCAACATCAGCATCAGCATCAGCATCATCATCGTCATCAGCATCGTCATCACCATCATCAACATCATCAGCATCAGCATCATCAGATCATCAACATCATCAGCCGCATCATCATCACCATCAGAATGAGCAGTATCATCATCTCCATCGCCATCTCCATCTCTGCCAGCATCATCGTCATCATCGCCGTCACCCCTACCATCACCATCACCATCACCATCACCATCACCATCATCATCATCATCATCATCATCATCATCATCATTCGCAGCATCATCATCAGCAGCATCAGCATCATGTTAAACGTATTCGCAAACGCCATCACCAGCATAGCAATCACCAGCAGCACAACCATAACTAGCATGGTCAACATCAGCATCATCACCAACGATCAGCATCATCAAAATCCTTGTCAGCATCAGCATCAGCAGCAGCATCATGATCAGCATCATCATCAGCATCATCCGAATCCTCTTCATCATCATCATCATCATCACCATCATCATCAGCAACATCTTCATCGTCATCGATATCGCCATCGTCACCATCAGCATCATCATCGTTATCATCTGAGTCCTCATCACCATCATCATCGCCATCGCCATCGTCATCACCATTACGGCCATCGTAATCGTCATCCTCGTCGTCATCGCTGTCGTCACCATCACCATCACCATCATCATCATCATCATTATCTTCATCAGCAGCATCATGATAATCAGCATCATCATCATCGGCATCACCATCATTGTAATCATCGTCATCACCATCATCATCATAATCGGCACCTTCAGCATCCTCATCCTCATCGCACTGCTCATCACCAACGTCGCCAACAACAGCAGCACAACCATGTTCATCATCATCATCAGCAGCATCATCAGCATCGGCATCACCATCATCGTCATCATCATCAGGCCTCCTTCTCCCTCCTCCTCCTCCTCATCATCATCAGCATCAGCATCCTCATCCTCATCCTCATCACCAGCATCATCAGCATCACCATCATCGCCCACAACTCAACGAGGCGGGCCCCAAGACGGTGCCTATCGAGAAGCAGCAATACTTGGCGCTCAGGGCGAAGCATGGCCCGCCGTTACCTTGGCCCGGCCGCTCGGCGCACGGCGCGGTGCGCGATCGCCTCTACGTCTCCCTGGAGAAGGCGACGACGACGACGACGTGAGGGAGGAGGAGGAAAGAGGGAAGAGGGAGGACGAGGAGGTGGAGGAGGAGGAGGGCCAGTGCAAACCCAAGTTTCATCAACGGCGTCCAAACTCCCTCTTCATAGGGCAAAAACAAAAATTCACTTCCACTGAAGGACGTGCCTGGATGGGAGACAACCGTGCGAAAATCCTGAAGCGTGCTAAAACACCGTTCTTGGGACTCCACAGCCACGAGTCAACCTGACTGTCGCGTCTTGACGATCCTGAATTAAGCCAGACCCATTCCGGAGACTTCAACACCGCGATCAACGTCGCTGCGCCCTGACAATCCTGAATCGCTTGAAACCACCCTTCCTGCAAGGTTAAGCATGGTCCGCCAAACTCTTCAAATGTGTAAGACGAACGCGCGTGGCGCTAGGGCGAGAACCAGTTTGAAAACGACCCGCCCGCAATCCGCGAAACTCTTGCTTATCCGCGAAACTCTTGTTCTATTGTTTGCCAGGAAAAATGTTTAAGTGTTGTCGGTTTATAGCGTCAGGGTCATGAATGTAAGGAAGCCTTAAGCGAAACGCCTGGCCGACCATTATGAGGGGCTCCGGGGTGCGACAGGGATGAGTTAAGGACAAGGAGGAGAGGAGAGGATAGGAGAGGAGAGGAGAGGAGAGGAGAGGAGTGGAGAGGAGAGAGGAGAGAGGAGAGAGGAGAGAGGAGAGAGGAGAGAGGAGAGAGGAGAGAGGAGAGAGGAGAGGAGACGAGGAGCGAAGATGATAGGAAGAGAGTAGAGGAGAAGAGAGGAGAGGCGAGGAGAGGAAAGGGGAGGGGCCGACGAGAGACGAGGAAGGGGGAAGAAACGATGAGCGAGCCACCCCCCACCCCTGGGCCCCCCGCAAGTGAATTCGGCGCACCCGCAGCCGACGAGGGGGAAGCCGCCGTCCTGCGCGGCAGAAAATGTAAAGAGGATCGAGGGAGCGGATCGAGGGTTGGGATCGCCCAAACCCCAGCGTCTAGAGCGGGCCCATCAGCCCAGAAGTCTGGTCCACAGATTCGGGCAACATGTGATTCGTTTCGGCTGCCACGTGCATTGCTCGAATCCACATAGCACGCGCATTCTGCACAGCGTAACTCGCGGCCGCGGCCGCCCCGAAGGCAGTCTTCCAAGAGGCCCCCGCGCATCTGACGCGCGCGCGCGAGCGCCGAGGAGACAGCGATGATCCTGGAAGTAACGACAAGGGCGTCTCGACGAGACAGTCAAGACTTCACGCAATGGTAGTCTATGTCAGGCGCCCTGGACAATATGACATACGTGGTGGCCAGCGCTGCGGCGAGGAGCGCCATTCTGCACCAGTACGTTGCGGGCGGGCACCGAAGCGAGTCGCCAATGATCGAATTGCCCGTCGGGCTTTTCGATAGACTTGGTATCGCGGAGTTGCACTACCGCCACGCACCCAGGGACAATGCACGAACGCCCGGCCCTGTCAACCCCGCAATTGCGCATTGCCCTCGCCCCATCCCGAATGGCCTGGACAGCATTCAGGCGCAGCCCTGGATGCACGAACCGCTGAGGTCGGCACGCCCCAAGCTGATCTGGGGATCTTGAGTGCCCTCACTGGCGGCCCCAAAGGCAGGGTTGAGGTCCCTGAGGTGTTGGTGGTGCGCCCCAGGGTCGACCTGGGAAGGCCGCCCGCGCCCACGCTTGGAGTCCAACTGCGGATCCGACCGGGTCGGTCCGACCGACCCCCGACGGGATTTACACCTCAAACGAATAGATGTGGATCTGGGCGACCCCCGACGGGACCCACACTTCGAAGGAGCATCTGTGGATTTGACCGACCCCCGGCAGGATCCACACTTCAAGGGAGCATCTGTGGATTTGACCGGCCCCAGACCGCGACCCCCAACCAGATCAACACTTCACGACCAACTGTGGATCCGACTCGCCCCCCCGAGTCTCCTGGAATGAGGCCACGAAATCCGCACTGAACTCCCCGGCTGCCCTGGGCACGGCCCTTGCGCCCAGTGCTGAAGACCCAAAGCGTGGATGTCGACTGGGCAAAAGACAAACAGGCAAAAGGGAGATGAGAAACGAAAAGAGAAACTGCAGAACCGGAGAGGAGAATGCACAGGTAGAGGGAGAAGACAAGGAGAGATGAAGAGTATAGTGCCGAGCGCGTCTCGGTCGCGGAACATTTTGAGTGAATTGCTTTCGGTGCTACTGGGTGCCGACGGTGGAAGGGGGAAAAAAAAGAGAACAACAAAGTGGGGAGATGAGGAGATTGCGCTGGACCCACCCCATCTTCCCCGCACCCCGCTTGCGCAGGGAGTATGTGCACGAAGAGGGGAAAACACGCTCACTGTAGGGCGATGTCAACTTGCAAGAAACAGCGTGTCAGGCCCGTTAGTTTTGGTTAGTGGTAAAACTAGAATGCGATTGCCTTGCAGGTTGCATTGCTGCCGATCTTCATTCAATTCAGCAAGGATGTGCGCTGTGCACCACCATGCACACTTTGCGCATAACGCTGGAACTTCTACAGTTTGAAGATGCGCCCTGTGGAGCTGCAGCGTGGGCACCCCAAACATCAGATGTTCTTCCATATGTGGCCTATTTGGGGGTCCCGGACGCCCTTCTATAACGGCCTCCCTGGCTGGCCCACGGGCCACCCCAAATCGACGGTGAAAATCGAGGAGGTGGGTCGAAAAGGAAGAGGAGGAGGAAGAGGAGGATGAGGAAGAGGAAGAGAAGGATGAGGAGGAGGAAGAGCAGGATCAAGGGGGAGGACCGATGAGAAGGAGGATCGAGGAGGACGGTCGAGGAGTAGAGACAGAAGGATCGATGGGGGCTGATAAAGAAGGAGGATCGACGGCGGGATTCGAGCAGTAGTAGTGGTAGTAGTAGTAGTAGTAGTAGTAGTAGTAGTAGTAGTAGTAGTAGTAGTAGTAGTAGTAGTAGTAGTAGTAGTAGTAGTAGTAGTAGTAGTAGTAGTAGTAGTAGTAGTAGTAGTAGTAGTAGTAGTAGTAGTAGTAGTAGTAGTAGTAGTAGTAGTAGTAGTAGTAGTCGTAATGGTAGTAGTAGTAATGGTAGTAGTAGTAGTAGTAGTAGCAGTAGTAGTAGTAGTAGTAGTAGCAGTAGTAGCAGTAGCAATAGCAGTAGCAGTAGCAGTAGCAGTAGCAGTAGCAGTAACAGTAGCAGTAGTAGTAGTAGTAGTAGTAGTAGTAGTAGTGGTGGTAGTAGTAGTAGAAGTAGCAGTAATAGTAGTAGCAGTGTTACTAGTAGTAATAGTAATAGTAGTAGTGGTAGTAGTAGTGGTAGTAGTAGTAGTAGTAGTAGTCGTAGTAGTAGTCGTAGTAGTAGTAGTAGTAGTAGTAGTAGTAGTAGCAGTATCACCGCCTCGTTACACGGCAGGCGGGGGGGTGGCCGAGCCGACCCAACCCCCAACCTGAAGGACCGTCCAGTCCAGTTCTGGGCGCCAGGGGCACTCTAGAGCAGAGCCTCACGGGCCCCTAACCCCTGTCGGAGCCCCGCGGAAGCCAAAGGGCCCCCAACCCTCAGAGTTGGGGCCACTCCGAGCCTGCAGGGCCTACACACAGTACGAGCCTTGCACGACTAGAAAATGAGAGGGGCGCCTCCAACCCTCTTAGTCGGAGAACTCCCCTTCGATCTCGTCGGGGTCTTCCTCGGACCTCCGAGCAGCACGCTGCCTGGCCGACCAGGAGAGGAAGTCGGCCTCCTGCTCTGGCCCGACCCCAAAACGCTGCAGCGCACGCGCACGGGGCAAACGTTGCTCTGGGCCCAGCTGCCCGCTGCCCGTGGCCCTGCTGGCCTCGAGGGCGGCGGGGGGCCCAAGCCTCTGGCCGAATTTGACTCGCCAGGCCTCGGAGGGAAAACGCTGCTCCCCGAGGCGCCATGCACCGCGGCCACCCTTCACGCTGGGGAAAAGCCCTCTGCGAATCCGATCCGTCTGTGGCTCGCGTCCTGCCCCCGTGCCGCGCGGCCTCAGGATGCCCATCATACGCTGGTGGGCATAGGCGTAGCACTTCACGCAGTGGACCATGGTGGAGCCGTCCGTGCCAGGCCCCGTGATGGCCCTCTCGACGATGGCGTGGCCTCCGATCGACCAAGGCGTACGTGGTCGTCGGGCTGCAGGGGGCCCATCGCCCTCCGCCGAGGCTCGCGCCGCTGCGAGGGCCACCACCGCTGCTCCTGCAGCCACCCAGGAGGCCTCGGCTGAGTGGCCACCACTGACCTCAGGCTCCTCGTAGCTCTCCTCGTGCTCCGCGAGCTCCAGGATGACGTCGCTGGCGTGGTCGATCTGCTTCCGATCCGCCATGCGCGCGTGGAGCTTACCCGTGAAGATCATCGCCTGCCTTGCGATGAGATCGAGGCCGTAGGCGATGTCCAGCTGGTCGTCTGTCAGCGCCAGCTTAGCGCCCTCCTTCGCTGCCTCGTCGGCGAGCCTGTTGCTGCTCGCTGCCACCGGGTCGTGCGATCAGCCTCAACGTCGGCAGCTGAAGCGTGGGCCAGCACCTTGGTGACAGTGTAGCTCCGTGAGCTGTCGAAGGAGGCGTAGACAGCGTTCCACATGCGGGCCCTCGGGGACCCAGGGCGGCATGCCCATGCTGCCCCCCGCAGGGCACAGGCCACCGTCCCTGAGCAGTCCGTCTGGAAGTCGACGTGGCCCTCGCAGAGGAAAGCCGCCATGTGGTAGGCGTAGTCCTCGCCGTCCCGCGCTTCCTGCCGCGGCGCCATGGAGAGGGGCACCCATCCCCATGCTGCAGCGACCAGGCGCCCATGCCCGTCGCACTGCACGAGCGACCAGCCCGCGCGCTGCAGCTCTGGCCACCGCGCGCCGACCGCGCTGCCGTCGGCGAAGATGAGGCCTGTGAGGTACCCCGAGGCTGGTCGCCGATACCACCTTACTGGGTCTCCATCGGGGTCTCGCCTCGGGATCACATGGTCGAGCGACGGGAAGAGGCACCTGCCGAACATCTCGCCACAATTGCCTCCTGCAGCCCGTGCCACCTCCGCGTGCCGAAGGAGCTCGGGCGAGGCCTCGTCCTTGCGATAGGCCGCGTGGCCATCGCAGCCGTGCAGCCTGTGCCAGATTGTGCCAGGTGCGCTCCTATGAGGCATTCCTCTCTTGTAGAGCCGCGTCTGGGAAAGTACCGGTAGTAGTAGTAGTAGTAGTAGTAGTAGTAGTTGTAGTCGTCGTCGTCGTCGTCGTCGTAGTAGTAGTCGTAGTATTAGTAGTAGCAGCAGCAGCAGCCGTAGTAGTAGTAGTAGTAGTAGTAGTAGTCGTCCTAGTAGTAGTAGTAGTAGTAGTAGTTGCTGCTGCTGTTGTAGTAGCAGTAGTAGTAGTAGTAGTAGTAGAAATAATAATAATACTCGCACGCAGCTGTGGGACAACATAAGTGCCAACAACTCAACCGCTCGACATAGCTCAAGGTGAATGTACAGCTATGACGCACTCGTGCTTATACAAAATTAGTGAGACCCCTACGTGGATGTTCCCCGCGCACATGCCAGCCGAGCAGACGCAGGGACCGACCGCAGCCAGGCGAGAGGTCGACCGAGGCGCCACGCGGGGCCAAGGGCGAGAGAGGGGCCACAGGCGACGGACGAGGCGGGAGGGAGGCGATACGAGGAGGGGGCGGACCAAAACTACGCGCGCATGCGCTGCTGACGGCGCCGCAACGCTACCCATATCCAGGCGAACACGGCTGCGCAGCCTGCAGCCCAAAGGATGCAGACACAGCGCGCGCGCGCACGTCAGTATTGAAACACACTCATGCTCACTCATCACAAAAATGGGAACCCTCGAGGTCCACTATGCGGTCGGCGATATCATCGATAACGAGGCAACCGAAGTCGAGGCCGCAACCACTTGGCAAAGGCGCCCACGGCAGGGACCCTCTTAGCTTTCCAGCACATCTATACAT